GGGGGGGGAGCCAGGCGCCCCCCTCCCCCAGGTCGGGGACAGAGAAAGAGTGGCAGGCAAAGAGAGAGACTGAAACGCAAAGCGGGGCAGAGATAGATACCCCACCCAGGGGAGAAAAGGAAACCAGGCAGCCTAAGGGACTCTTATATATAAAAAAGGAAAGCAATGGGTGAGGAAATCCTCCATTTTCGTTTCTAACAAATTCCCTTAATTTTGAGAGAGCCAAAGGGGGGTGGGGTGGGGTTGAAAGAAAACAAGAGAGAAAGATACAAAGCCCAAAGGAGGAAAACAGTCCAGAAGCTTAAAGTGCAGGAAAGAAGGGGAAGACGAGAGCCAGAGGCGCAGAGGGAAAGGCAAGAAGGGGCGGCGGGAAGGAGGCCGGCGGCCGTCGCGGGGAGAGGCCCTCGCCGGCTTTGCGCGGCTTCATCGATCGCCTACAAATTGCTTCTGGAGGCCCCGGGGACTCCCATTAGATCTGTCCACCTTAGAGACAGACGTTTGATCTCAGTTGACGGGGCGGAGGGGGGGCATTAACTGAGTCAGTGAATCATCGCCTCCCGGCCGCCTCGGAGGAAGCCGGCTGGCCGGGCGGCAGTCCCGGCCGGGCACAGGGCTCGGGCAGCAGGTCGCAGGCCTGGGAGACGTCTGCGGGGGGAGGGAGAAGAGAGGCCGGGCAGTGCAGCTCTATCCGCCCGCCCCTGCCTTTGCCCTGGACTGGTGGGGAAGGTGAGGCCCCTCCGGCTGGGACGGGGGGTCTGCTTTTCCTCAGAGCTGGGGAGAGGTGAGGTGCCATTTTACCCTTGGCTGCGCCCTTCGAGGCTGGTGTGTGGGTGCCGCGCGCAGACGAGGAGCCCCGGCTGCCTGCCTAGGGGACTTTGCCGCAGCTTCCCTGATATGATTACGTTCCATCTACTTTTGGGGTTGCCAGTCGCTGTCGGAGTCAGGACCTTCAAGATGCGGGAATGCGTTAGAGGGGCCCGAGCTGGGCGCCGGGCGCCGCCGAGGGGAGCGGCGCTGGCGCGGGCTACCCCCCGGGATGGCGCGGAAGCGAGGGTAACAGCTTGTCCCCGGTGCAGGCGGCAGACCGCGGAGGAGCGCGAGGCCGAGAGGCAGCAGGCGAACCGCATCCTCCTGCAGCTGCAGCAGGAGGCCTTCCAGAAGAGCCTGGCGCAGCCGCTGCCCGCCGACCCGCTCTGCGTTCACAACTCGTCGCTCTTCGCCCTGCAGAACCTGCAGCCGTGGTCGGACGACTCCACGAAGATCACCAGCGTCACGTCGGTGGCGTCGGCCTGCGAGTGAGCCTGCCCACTCCACCCGGGGAGACCCCGGCCCAGCCAAGGGGTCGCCGCTGAGGCCTGAGGGCAAGGACCCTCTCCCGCCCTGCGGGCCTGCGACTGCAGCCGAGGGGGCCGCTGCGCCTCTCCACAGGGGCCTGCGTGCTCGCCAAAGCTGTTCCTCTTCCTCTCTTCGGTGGAAAAGAAGAAATGATCGATCGCGGAGGACAGGGACCCGCGACCTACTCCCAGATTCCCAAGCGGTCCTGCGCTCTCTAAAACTGTTCAGAGCCGTCTCAGTTTGCGTCTGTTTTATTTTACTCGGAGTTTTAACGTGGGATTGAGAGAGTCGGGGGAAGTGGGGGCTTCCGGGGGTCCCCAGAGGACAGCATGGGCTGTCATCTGAACCTCCTCTCTGTATCCCACCCCTCATCACACACCGACACCCACAGGCCCACACAGAGGTGATTTCACCGTCCCTCTTGGTGCCACCCCAGAGTCACACTCAGGGGACCTATGGCAGAGTGTCATGCACATGCAGGGCCATAGCCTTCTTACCCTGGATTCTCACTATCTGGCCTAGGCCAGGGGTGACCTAGACTCATTCTGAACAGCATGGCACTTCTCATAAACAAAAGGCAGTGACCACACTGTGACACACCATCCCACCCACAACGGCCGTCACAAGGTCACTTGGCCTGCCAGACCTCCATCACACATCCTAGCCACACCCAGGTACTCACAGGCAGGTTTTCACACAAACTCAGCCTATTTCGCCAGATCCTGTTCATAGGGGGGAGGGGGGGCTTAAGTTATGCACTTATAAGGTGTTTTCTGTGTAACCATTTTATAAAGTGCTTGTGTAATTTATGTGAAAAAATAATAAAACCCTCCGGATCCGGAGTTAGGGCTGCCTGCTCCTTGCTGAGCCCAGCACCTTGCAGCTATTTGGGCTTGATGTGAGCTGGTGCTGCGGGGACAGCCACTGGTGCCTGAGCTTGAGGAACATTTGGGGGCCAGGACCTGCAGGCTCTGGAAAGAGGAAGGAAGAAGTGGGACAAACAGAGAAGGCAGAGCTAAGGAAAGGAGGGAGAGAAAGGTGCTTCTGGGACAGCTAGTGCTCAAGAGGATATAGTGTCTTTGAGTGTGAGAGTTGTGTGTATGCATTGTGTTTGTAATGGTGCAGGCAATCAGAATATTATTGATTGTTTGTAATAGCGCATACTTGTGTTTGCAATTATTGTGTGTGCCTGTTTCTGCTTAAGTTGCAAACTGAAATTATCATTATACACTTGAACTTGTGGTATGTGTGTGTAACTATGTGTAAATGGGGCTGTGCTTTGGGGGGTAATTGTATGATTACCCACCTGTATTTGTGATTGTGTATGAATCATGTGCTAATGTTTGTGAGAATATATATTAGTTTCTCTTTGTGGATCTGTTTTTGTGTTAAATGTGTGAATGTTTGTGATTGCATATCATCTGAAATTGTGTAAATGTAATTGTGTGTGAGATGTAATCATGTATGAGATGTGTATTTTACTGTATATTCTTGCGTATGACAGCATGTATATATTTGGGGAAATGAATTAGTGGGGAGTGTGGATCATTGTGGGTGACTGTCCGTGCCTGTGAGTGGGTGTAATTGTGCACTGTTAGTGTACAAGATGGTGGGGGTCTAAAGTAGGGTGTGCAGATACATTGTGGGGATACCAACATCTGCTAGGAGTTTTGGAGTTCTAGGCCCTTACCCAGTAAGCTGCAGAGATTGGGGCACACTGAGTCAACAAGGGGGCCAGGATCCTCTGTGGTACTCTAACCTGGACTTCACAGCTCCCAGCACTAGCCTGCCCTACTGGGTTCTGAATAAGTGACTTCTCAGGAACCTTCAGAGAGCCCCCAAACCACTCCAGCCAGGATAGTAGCAACAGTGTACACTTTCTTCCATAACATCTAGCCCACACACACTAGACTAATCCAGGTGCATAGAATTGATTTAGTCCTGCTTTTGTGGAAGAAGCTAGGTATTGAAGGGTCTGGGGAACATACCATCTGGGGGAGTAGAGTGGGAAGATAGGAGGCTCTTTCTTTGGGAGTGAGAGAACTTTGTGGCTAGAAACTAGAAGTGTGTGTGGAGATGTTTGTGTGTGCAGAGCTAGGGTTGGGGGAGCCGTGGAAACCATCAGAGAGCCACTGTCCTTCATCCCTGACCAGGCTGCCATCCTGGACATGCTTTATGAAATGGGGACAAAGCACAGCAACCTCCCCCCTGCAAAGGAGGCCCAAGGGGAAATTGGCTGTGTGGGGAATAGGCAGTGCTCCTGCATCCCTCATCTGTGGCCCCCTTGGAGCTGGCTTCTATAAGAGAGAATTCTGGGTTGAAAAATCATAGGCCAGCCACCTGCCCCCAATCCCCTGACAGACTGTGTTGTTGGTCATTGGGAGAAGGTTCTGACCACGAAGTGGGGCCTCTCCTGCCTGCAGTGGAAGCAGCGCCTAGTATGGGGCTGAGCAAAATCCGGAAATGGCCTCCTGGAACGGTGTAGAAACGACTCCTTCTGCCTGGGCAGGTCTGGCTGTTTCCTCCCCTCTCACCAGCCCTGGAGCTTCCCAGCCCGCACTCTTCGTTTGGTGAGGTCGCCTCCATTTTCGGTCTTTAAGACACAACTTCAGTGCTTCCCGGCTGCAGGATCCCAGAGTCTCGGAATCTGGGGGAGACCGGGGCCTTCCTACCACCTCCCAGTCCCTGGAACACCCCCACCCTCCAAGAAGCTCTGAAAATATCCCTGAGGCTCCTGGAAATTTTCTGGCCTCGGACTGTCCAGCTGAGGAGCTGGGGCAGGAATGGGAGCCACTGCCTGGTCCAAACACAAACCTTCAAACCGAGCTCTTCCCCACCAGCCCTCTCCCCCTCTTGCAAGACAAATGCAAGCAAAATTACGCATAAGGCGCCTCCTCCCCAAAATACGTCCCACTTCCCCCTCTTCCCAAACGGCTAAGGGCTCAACCCAAGCCCAGGCTGGCGAATGCCGGCTCAGCCCGCCGCTTTCGGCTCCTGTCCACTTTGTCAGGGATTTGCGGGGAAGTGGGCATCCCGCATGCCAGGATCCGGAGCGCTGCTGTCCCCCACCTCTCGCCTACTGCGGGCGCAGGCGACCGTCCGGCTGCCCCGACCAGCTACCCGGATCCCTGGCGCCTGCTCCCTGAGCTCGCTGGTGACCCGGGTCGCGCGCTCTCCCTGGGCCCCTCCTACGTGCACGAAGTGTAGGGCCAGGCGCCCTAGAGCTGCTAGACCCCCGGGGCACTGAGGCTCTTGGCGTTGGGGAACCGCGCCAGACTCCCCACTCTTTGCCGGGAATTCGTTGGGACCGAATCTCGGTGAATCCCGCCTCGGCCGAGGGCCGCGGAAGCCGGGAGAGGCCAGGCTGGCGGCAGGGCCTGGTCCCTAGCGGGGCGGAGGCAGGAGGGGAGGGGGCTTCCAGGGTCACAGGCGGGACCGACTGCCCGCAGCAGAAAGTTCACAACTCCCCCCCTGCCACACACCTGCCGGAAATGGTAGGTCTCTGTTCAAAAATAGAAAAGAAATTATCCGAATAATTATCTGTAGAGGTGTGGGGAAAGAAGAGAAATTAACGAACCTGCCTGGGCAGAAATGCCTGCTTCCTTCCTTGGCTTGAGAGAGCCCTGCGTACTGACCAAATTCCCCGAGGAGTGAGCCCTGAGTACCCAGGGAGCGCCGCAGTGGAGGCCCAGAAACGCATACAGGGCTGGGGTCCTAAAGCCTGCACTGTGCCTCTGGTGGCACACGGAGAATCTGGCTCAACCTGTTGACTATAATAGTGGCTTTGTGTGGCCCGATCTGCACTTGGGGGCTCAGTGGGCATGGCCTCAGCATCGCCTTGTAATGCCCCCTCTGTGGGGGCAGGTCTGGTGTTTGCCCTATGCTCAGGACTCAGATGGACACCCTGTTTGTCGTGTGAGTGACTTGCAGATGGACGAAATAGATCCCAGGTGTATGAGCCAACTAAGCAGGGACCTCCCTCCTGGTTGTGCAGAGCTGGAGCAGCTGGGAATCTGCAGCCATGCTGGGGAGAGGGGAAGTTGTGGCCCCAGGGCTGCCCTGAGGGCCCTTCCAGCCAGATGTGGGAGGAAACTGCCACCCTCATGTTCTGCCCCTCCTGCTCCCCTCACACCCTCTCACTCCCACACAGCCCCCAGAGTCCTGCTCCTAAGCAGTAGCTCCCCGTCCTGGGCACTCCCTAATCAGCTCAGAGTTCGAAGCCCCACAGCCAGGCGTCTCCCTGGGCAACTAACAGGAACTGCCTGGGCTTTTCCCCAAATGGCATGAATCTGCTGCCCAATATGGGCCCAGGGAGGCCTCTGGCACCACTCACCTGCACCCACGCCTGGATTCCTTACCCCAGGGAGTCCGATAGGACCGGACTGAGCAAGGCGGAGGGCTGGAGCCAGTTCAGATTTCCAAGGAGCTCAGAGCAGACTCGGAACACTGAGTGTTCGCTGAATGGGGGATGGGGGAGCGATAGGGATGAGTGGAGGGAGCGATGGGTTTCCCTGCTGAGTGGAGGGGTAGGTCCAAACTCACATCCCCTCATCACAGCCTGCATTGTGTACAACCTCACACACCTCCTTCTGCTTTGCATGGGGTGTGCCATGTTACTCAAGGGGAGCTACAGGTGTGCGGTGCTAGGTACACACAAGCACACACAATCTCCACTGCGGGCATTCTCAGTTACTCTCACAAGCTTACCCCTTCAGGGCCCCACCAAGCTCTAACGTGCGGTTATCCCGATGCCACCCAGCCTCGGGCACCCTCCTCCGCCTTCTCTCCCCTCCTCCCTGAGCCCGGAGAGGAGGGCCTAACTCGACTGCCAGTCGTCCTGGGGGTGGGGATTTTCTAGGCCCGCACATTAACTTCCAGCCCTGCAGCTCCTTTGGCCACACACTCCATGAGCTTGAGGCTGGGCCTGGGGGCCACGGACCGCTCTGGATTCTGGCCAAGGACCC